TTAGCATGAAACAGAATGTCACCTTAGGGTGTTGATTTCAATGTCCGCATTTATATTTATACACACATGCAAACACAAACACACATGTATATCTATGAAAATTTCTTGGATGTTCAGACCAGTAAGTGTTGTTAATACTATTTATTGTAAACAGAGCATTTACTTAAATATTTGTGTATATATAAATAATGTAGAACAATAAAATATCTTAAAATAATTGTCAAACTTTGTCCATTTCATAGTGTGTGACATCATTTTTTTATGTTTAGATACATTTTGAACAGATATGAACGCTTGAGGGAAATCATGGGAAATTGTAGTTTAAAAGCAGTAAAATTGACCTTGCTAATCAGACACTCCTCTGTAGGTAAACTGGTATAGCACGTTAGCTTATATGACAGTTCCATGTAGGATACGGGTTCGATTCCTGTTGTAGGACACATATTTTCTATGAAAATTTCTTGGGCATTCAGTTTGTTAAATGTTGTTAATACTGTTTATTAGAAACAGAATATTTACTTAAATATTTGTCTATATAAATAATGTATAATACTACTATATATATATATATATATATATATACACAAATGAGAGAAAGAATAGATGGAGTAAAAATCCACAGTTCATAGCATCTATTTTTAAAAAAGTGCTCAATACAAAGTTGAGCAAAATATTATATTTTTATTTTAATAAATTACAATAAAAACATTTTGCATCGCTACATGAAAACTTACATGTTTCAGTACTAAGATTGTACTTCTTCAGACGATGCTAGATAACTTGTGATAAAAAAAAAAATTGTGTAGCAATGTAAAATTTTTTTATTGTAATTTTCATAATAAAAATTTAATAATATATATATATATATATATATATATATATATATATATGTGTGTGTATATATCAGTGTATTTAGGCAGCAGTGTTCCTTAAGGCAAATATTATTAAAAACAATAGATGTTACGTTTCAATAATTTTTAATGATCAACTTTTACAAAGTATGGATTAGAAATTGTCTGAGGTTCATTTTGAAATAGACATACAAGAAATCAAAAGCTTGGACCATATTTCCTGTACTTTTCTTTCAAAATAAATTTTATTTTATTTTCTGTAAATCAATTTTTGGGGAATGGTTTCAATTAGAAATTTGATGCAAATCCAGTACCCCCTCCAATACACACACTTTCTCTCTTGGTGGTTTGTAAATATTTTTGATGTAAATTGTTTGATGTCATTAACAAAATACCATCTGTAACAATGGGGTTGTGACTTTCTTATTACTTTCAAGTGTCTTAAAAGATCACATCCTGTGTTGAATCGCTTAAACCGCTTCCTTTTAAACTTCCTTTTGCCTCTCTTGCCCATTGATTCTTGTCATACACCTTCTCCTCCTCCACAAGTTCTACTGGTATCTAGGAAATGCTTTCAAAATATTTTGCGTATATTTTCTTTTTAAGTAGAATATTTACTGACATAAGCTGAAATGTTAAGGTGGGTGTTATATATATATTAGTTGGCCAATGAAAGAAATTTGAGAGATAAAAAAAGCAATAATAATAATATTTATTGTATATTATTTGTCTTTTATGGGGCCATGGTGGGGTAATGCATAGTGGCATGGATTGAGGAATCGGAGAGCTGAGTTTGAATTTCAATAGAGTCCAATTCCTTCACTTATTTGTAAATATGTTTGGGAAAAGAATGAATGAATATCCTCCCCTCAGCTATGGGTAAATAGCAGGACAGACTGGGTCCAATAGCCTTGGGTGGCAACTGGTCAAGGAGAAGGACAACTCTGAATTCAAAACCTCCAAATCTGGGTTAAATAGCCTCACCAACTCACAATTAACCAAGCTTGGTGAGTATGTCTACATCACTGAAGACACGGTTAATCAGGGAGGGGTTCCTCCAATGAGTGAGAAAGATTTGGATCAGATCTAACCTAATGAGCTCTCATCCTGGGTCACTTTTTTTTATTTTATTTATTTGAACTTCAGACCAAATAGAATCATAATGAGAAAAAAATGTTTAAGAATTGGAATTTCTCTTTAAACCTAGAATGTGTGAATTTATTTAAAAAATGTTTTTTTTTAAAACTCTGACTTTGGGATTCTTGTTGGCATGTATTTATTTATACCTATGGACTCTAACATGTATGTTCCAATTCTTATAAATACAGTGGAATATGCTGTATGTTGGATTCACTATTGGAATTCTCTTGCGACTTACCTTGATTCACTTCTAGCTCACCACTAGCAATTGATTACTTACTACACGCTACTGGCGAATCTTGTATGTTGTTCCTGTTATAAATATTATTCCATTTCCAAACTTCATTTTGGTTATTCTTATTCTATAACCTTTTCCTAGGTTACAACAATATTCACACACACACACACACACACACACACATGGTGGACTCTCTTGTCATGGATAACAAATAAAATCTCAGTAAAATAAAGAGGTTCTCAACTTCTATGGACATGGATGTGTCCTGTGTGGTCTGTAGTTGTTTCACAAACTTTTACACAAATGAAATATGTGGTTGAACCATGTTACTCAAGTGGCTGAGGATCAATTGCCACATGTTTCCACAAGCGAACAGAAAGGCATGTGACAAAGCTCACTGCTAGCACATCTTTGAGTTTTATGTACAATGTAATCATCAGGTGTTGATTAAAAACTGATGATTACATTGTACATGAAACTCAGAATAAAAATAATTATTATTAATATAAATTATAGCTCTGTTATTATACATTGAGCACTACTTCAGTGTCTGTCTATATTTCTGAGATGAGGTATTATGTACACTATTTACATTGTTCGAACTATTGTCCTCATCTTGGTTGCCATATTTATCACATTTCATTAGACATGGCACGTGGAACTAGAACAGTCTACCTCAGTGAGCCAAATAAAGGGTTTAGTTTGAGATTACAGCCACCTGAAGAAGGCCGTAGCATACAACAGCCGAAATGTTGTGATAAATATGGCAACAAAGATGAGGATGATAGTCCGAACAATGTAAATATGAGCACTACTTCATTAACACCAGCAATCAATGTGCGATATTTTATATTCATATATATATATGTGTGTGTGTGTGTGTGTGTGTGTGTGTGTGTGTGTGTGTATAATTAGGCACCTGTTGTTCCTTAAATCATGTCTTATTAAAGAGTATAGACATTTTGTGCCTATTTTCCTCTCCAAATTGTGAATGATCCTTTGCAATAACTACAGTTGTTCATGTACAGAAATTCCAATACTTTTATTATGGCTTTAGCCAAACTTTTGATTCTTGTAAGTCATCCTCATCGGGTCTAGAATTGGTGTATTATGTGAAATATGTTGATAATCATAATTAACAAATTTAGTGCAACATTAAATTTAATTGAACAACTCTCAAATGCATATTTAAAATCTAATTTTTATAAAGATTTAATTAAAATGAAAACCAAATGTTCAGCTGCTTAATGTGAATCTGGTTTTGTGTCATTAATTTAGATTTTGTTCTTGAAAAATAAGATTATTACTTAATATTATTACTTAATATTATTACTTAATATTATTACTTCAGATTATTACTTGAGAAATAAAATTATTAGATTTTGTTATTGGGGAATAAGATTATTACTTGAGAAATAAAATTATTAGATTTTGTTATTGGGAAATAAGATTATTACTTGAGAAATAAAATTATTAGATTTTGTTATTGGGAAATAAGATTATTACTTGAGAAATAAAATTATTAGATTTTGTTATTGGGAAATAAGATTATTACTTGAGAAATAAAATTATTAGATTTTGTTATTGGGAAATAAGATTATTACTCACAAAACTGATTCATTGGTGAAATCTGTCAGTGTAGAAGTTTCTTATATTCCTATCACATCCAGTATGTTGCTCTTGTTCTATATCTCAAGATTCTTGACAAAATCTAAAGAAGGATCTGTAATGTTATCAGTAGTAACCTGGCATCTCAGCTTCAATCACTTTCCAACCACCATAACATAGCTTCTCTGTATTTTTTCTATAAATATTTTCATGGCAATTTTTCTGCTAATTATTCCTGTATGAATTTAAGCACGTGACCAGCTAGGTTTTCATTGTTTGATTGCTGAATTAACTAGATATAATTGTAAATTCTATTCTAATAGTTTCTTTTTTCACACTTCTTACCTGTGGAACTCTCTTCTGGCTTCTCGCTTCACTGCCACTTATGACCTTCAAAAATTGAAATGCAGCATCAATTGCCATCTTCTCTCTTCCTGTATCCTGTCCTTTTACTGTCCTCCCTTGTCATTCTCTTCCACTCCAAGTAACCCCCTTGTGTCCTAGTGGCATTATCATTGTCATAAAATAGAATCTTAGAAATCTACCATTTGTTCAAATATTGAATACTGCTGCCATATTTATCTGGCTCTCCAACTATATCTCAAGATTCTTGACAGAATTCAAAGAAGGGTTTGTAATGCCATTGATCCTGACCTAGCATCTTGAATTCAGGCATTTTCTCACCAACTTTATGTGACTTCCTTCTCTCTTTTCTACAAATATTCTCATGGCAATTATTCTGATGAGCTTTTCTCCTTGGTGCCTCGACTGCATGAATTTAAGCATACTACGAGATTGATAACTAGTTTTACTGTTGAAATAGCCAGATGTAACTGTAAGTTCTGTTCTAATAGTTTATTTTCTCATACTTCTTAACTGTGGAACTCTCTTAGGTTTCTTGCTTCCCAGCCAACTACAATCTTGAAAAATTTAAATGCAATGTCAATTGCTATTTTCTGCCTTTCTTAATCTTGTACTTTTTATTGTACTAAATTTTCTCTCACCCTCAGTAATCCCCTGCATATTAGTAACACTATCACCTTGCATGGGATGAAATGATTAAAAAAAAAATTTATAAGTGAAACTGTTGGATTATGAATAAAATTAATTCCATAGAAATTATTTATGTTTTGAATATGAAATTAGGCTTACAGCTACATCACATTGATACACCAGTTCTTGTACAATCACCAAAGTTAAGCAATGTTGAGCCTGGTCAGTACCTTGATAAGTGACTGCTTGGGAATACAAGGTGCTGTAATCTCAGTTATGGGTTAGATAGAAGGGCATAATGGGCTCTCTAGCCTTGTTTGGCAACCAGGTTAGGAGGAGGAGTAGGAGGACACTGAATTCAAAACCAGTTACTAATGAGCAGATAGACTGCCAACTAAAGCTTAAGAGCTCCTATCTTGAGATAGTGATCTGATAAAAATACCCATTCCCCTAGCAACCTGAACCTTTCGTGGGTATGTGTTAGCCTGTAATATTGTACAATGACTGAAACTCTTGTGCATTCTGTTGCAGGAAGAGATATCATCTTTTTTTCTACTGTTTTGCATGAGCAGAATAAATATAAAAACAGAATTGTTTGCATGCACAATTTAAATCTCTTTCTGCCACTCATTTTATTCTGTCAAAACACCTGACCTGGAAGATTTTCTCAATACCTAAAATTAATACAACCCATGATTTTATTTTCATATGGATTTCCTTAAGATGATCCTTTCAATTACTTTTTGATCCAAGAATTTTGATTTCATTAGAATTATTCTTTTCATGCAATTAAGAAAATAGGTCTGTTTTTCCTTTATAAAAATTTTCAAAACATATAAACAAAAATGAACCAAAATTAGAATTCTATTCTTCCAATTTTTTCAAAACATTTTCTAGGACTTCCCCCCCCCCAAATCACTGTATTAATTTATATATAATGACTATATGTGAATTCTTTTTTAATCTGTTACCTTTTTGCAATTTCAGTTGATAATTTATATCCAATCTTGCCTTCTCCAAAGGTATTAGTGAGAAATAAATACAGATTCTCAGATGGGATTTGAACTCACCTTGCTGATTCTATCTTTGTCACACCCTTGGCCACTTACAGCTCTCCTAAGAAATAAATATTTTAGATGCTTACAATTATGGTGTTTCCAATTTATATAGTCATGTCAAAAGATACTCATTTTCTTGCAGTTTTGATTACAAATGGTTGTTTAGACCTTAAATAGACATGTGGTGATCTTTGCTATCAGTGTCATGTATCCATGTTTTTCCTTGAGTCAATTTAGCTGTATAATTTTCAGTCTACAATGTTCATCTGGGTATGATGATAAACTACATCCATGTCCTGTGTAAGTTGTTAAACTACATCCAGCAGCAGGGCCTCTGATCAGGAGGTTTTGAGGAGCTTGGAACCACCTCTTAATTGCTGGTCTTCCCATGTCTTACCTGACTTGGGGTGGTAGCACCTGTTAGGGTCCCAGCTATGGGCAAATAGTTAACACCCAAAACTGTGTAAGTGTCCTGGGTATGACGATAAACTGCATATCGCATCCTGGGTAAGATGACAAACTACGTCCAGCAGCAAGGCCTCTGATCAGGAGGTTTTGAGGAGTGTGGAACCACCTCTTAATTGCTGGTGTTCCAACGTCCACCCTGACCCGGGGTGGTAGCACTTGTTAGGGTCCCAGCTATGGGAAAATAGTTAACCCCACAACCTGCCTCAAAACACTATGAAAGTGTAAAAATAGATTTTAATACCAGAAATACTTTAAAAAAAAATTAGTATCAGCCAAAAATATTTGAAAAAAGAAAATCTTACCAGAAATAAAAATCTTGTCAGCATTAAATAACCCATTGAGGTTAATATGCCACAAAACAAAACAAACAAAATTATACATTTTGAAAAAAAATAATATTACCTGCTATACATTTTTGAAAAAAAAAAAGGAAATTTTGTCGGCATTAAATAACCCATTGTGGTTGATATGCCGTAAAACAAAACAAACCAAACCAGTCTACAATGTCCAGCCATTTAGCTGACTATAAACCTCATACAAGGGAAACAATTGCTGACTTTATAGTAATAGTTGTAAACAATAGATATTTAATGGTAATATTAGAGGTTTCCCTACAAGGAAACATTTGGCATTCATTGACCAGCTGAAATTTATAAAATCTTTCTCTTTAAAACAATTTTTTAAGAAAATAGGTTTCTCAAGTCCAGTAGCTGTTATTGCTCTTTCCAGTATTGAATAGGGTTTCATTAACCTTTTATTTGAAGTGGTATGGAATGATTATGTCATTATTTTCTCTTTGAGCTACATGTGATATCCATTTTAGTTTTTGCTAGCCCTGAAGTGATGTGGTTACTGTTATTTGGTACAGTTCTCTGTGAATCTGTATTGCAAATCTACAGTGTTTAAATAAGGATGATCTTTGCTAAAACCCTCAGGCTTCACCCACTTTAAAAAGCCTTTTTTCACTATTGATCTTAGGAAGCAGTTGTATAGTAGAAATCTTTAAAAGAACAAGGAGATTATACATGAATTTTAGTATATTCTTCTTCTTCGTGCTGTGTCCCTTCAGGATGTTAGTGATCATGGCTCTCCACAATTTCCTGTCCTTTGTAGCTTTTAATAATTTTTCTTTTTATTATCTCTCCTAAACCTTGCTCTGTCATCCATTTACTCAAACTCTCTAGGTAGGTTGTGTATTATTTGTCTCTGTTCCTCTTACCTCCAATTTGTCCTGTGAGTATCAAATTTTCCAAACCACCTTTCCTCATGATGTGAATTTCAACTCTCTCTCTCTCTTCCAGATGTTAAATATAAGAGTTCTTTTTGTTTTCATTTAAAACTTTGTTGTTGCTCACATATTCAGTCCATGGTATTCTCAGCATCCTTCTGTAGATCCATGTTTCTGTTATTTCAAGTCTCTTCATCTGTGAGCAGATTGCCCAGCATTCACTGTCATATGAGAGGACTTCTATCACAACAATTCAGTACTCTTTTTTTTTGTTTCTAATAAAATTTTTCTGTTTCTTTATATTTTGCTTAGCTTTTGGGTGGCATCTTTCGCTATTCCAATGTGTTTTTGAATTTCAGTGTCACTCTTTTCATCCTCTGTTAAAACACTTCCTACATATTTAGATTTTGTGCTTGCTTGCTTTTGGTATTCCCATTTTGTAATTTTCATGTTGGCCTGTTCCTTTTTGCTAACAACCATGCATTCTGTTTAATGTTGGTTAAATATTCTTTTGGGGAAAAAAAAAAGTTTTTAGATTAAAAAATGGTTAAAGATTTCATTGCCACTTAAGTGCCTTTTCGAAACAAGATTATTTTTTGAGTACATCATTTGTGTATGTTGTTTTCTTTCATTTTAAGGATCTAAGTGAACTTATTAATGTCGTTACACTCTGTAGGTTGCAAGTGAAGGACATTTTATATAATAGTTCCTTGTGCCATAAGCAAACACTTATTCTCTTTTTCCTTTTTTTTTTCTTTTAACTTTTTCTTCCCACACTTCCTGTCCCAAATATTTTTTGTTTCAGTAAACTCATTTCCCCACCCACTTTAGAATAGGCTTGTCTCAAATTTTTAGAATGAGTGCATTTTAAAGTGAACATTTTTTGTTCTCAGAGTTGGGCTGCCTTGATTTTTAACTCTTATTTAAAAAAAAAAACCCAAAACAAACAAAAAACAAAATGGCCATGTTAAAGCAGAGTCCTATCTTGTAGTTTGAAGTCTAGAATATATGAACTTTATTATTGAAAGTAGTTGTTGATTTGATATTACTAGTAGGAGGCAAGCTTTAAGTTCTATCTGAAATGATTCATAAAAAATGCGTTACCACTTTGTAACTTGGTAAGAGAAAAAAGTCAAAGCTTTGTTTTGTACTCATAAAATCTGAGTTCTTCCATATTTTGTATTGTTTGACATTGATTTAATAAAAGATGTTAAAAATAAGAGATAGAAGAGAAGAATAAGTATACTGGACATTGATTTATTAATAAAAAAGGTTAAAAAATAAGGTATGACTAGAAGTTTTCAGAGGAATGATAGGCTGGAAGAAGAGTACAAGTCTATTGGACTCATTTATAATTTACTGAGGGCTGCTGGGAAAAAGACAAAAGTGCAGTGTCGGATCAATACACAGTTTTGTATTGAAAAACTACTCACCTTTATTTATCCCTTCCTTTTTACCTCTCTGTTCTTCCTGCTTTTTCATCATCATCATCACGTGTTCATGCATGAATGATTTCTTTTTCTGAATCACCAAATTAATGTATGCACAATTGTTATCTTTTTAGTTGTCAGGTCAACACTGAACATTTGCCTTGTTTTTTTTATGACTGTAAGGGTATAGCATAATAGCCATATAAGCACAGATATAAAGAGATGGGCACTGATTATTTATGCATTCCAAATTAATCTAATAACAGAAAACAGCTTTCATGTTTTTTCTCAATGATGATTAATAGATTCATTCATTTTCTACAGCTTATCAACTATTTGCAAGTTATTTAAAGTCAGAAAATATTTTTATATTGTAAGAATTTTTTTTTATAAGTAATAATGCTTTAGTGATAGGTTGCAAAGAAGGAGGAGGCTTATATTTAATATCAGGAAGAGTTTCTGGGACAGATAATGAGGAAGGAGGGCCTGGAGAGTCTGATACTCATAGGTCGAATAGAGGGAAAGAAAGACATGGGAAAACAATGTGTGACATACCTGGTGGGCTTAAGCAACTGGATGACAGAACGTGGTCTGGGGGAGGTGACAGAGGGAAGGAACTTGTTGAGAGCTGCAAGGGATAGAGGGAAGAGTGGAGAGCCACGATCAGCTACGTCCTGAAAGTACATGGCGCATAAAAAGAAGATACAAATTTTACTAATTAACCCATAGCTGGTTTGAAAATAAGTAGATTCATGCCTTTCCCAAGGCATATAACGGATCAGACTGGAATTGAAACTCAGCTCTCTGATTACTAATTCTGAGCCATTATCCATTACATCATCCGCCACACATCCAAGGTTACAGCACCTGGTATTCCCAAGTGGTCATGCATCTATGTACTGACCAAGCTTGATGTTGCATAACCGGTGATCATACAGTTACTGATGATGAGAGGGTCTATGCTGATGACATAGGTATTTTTAGTTGAGATAAGAATGATCTTGAACAAAAATCAACATCTTCTACCAAATTTTCCAAGAAAAGAATTCAAGATAAATGTTTCCAAAACAGAAACTATAATCTGG